AGAATCACCATGCTGGCTGATATTTGGAGAAAGAAAAAAAAAACAATTTTTAGGGAAAAGATTCAATCTACACAGAGCAAGGGGGGAAATACTAAGTTCAATAGAGCAAATATCTTTACAAGTTGAAGGAAGAATCTTTCTTCTGCCATCAATAAAACCATTGTGTTATTATATATGTTGTACTGTTTTACTTGACTATTATTTTTCTTGGTGATCTGGCATTAGCCCCATACTAATTGCCTTCTATGGAATATCTTATGGAAGCCTTTCCCCATAGTTACATAGTATACTGACTGTGAGTTTACACTATTTCATATTAAAACAACCTGAAGCCCAAAAGCAGTTATTAATATGGTAACAGCTATCAAATATAATAGAACATTGAAAAATTAATATGCAATCTATAGCACCCTGACAGTTTTTACAAATATAATTTGTAATTTTTAAATGTGAGTTGTATTCCTGGGGTGCATTTGGTTGCAAGTAATGGAAAAGACATCTCAAAGCCCCAGGCCACAGAAGAAATTGACTGACTCACTCCATGGCTGTAACCACAGCGTTTCAGGCTTGGCCTAATTTAGTCATTTGTCTTTTGGAGAGGTTGTGAAAAACTGATTTTTGTATTTCTCATTTCTGAGCTGCAGTCTCGGACAGACTTGCCCCATGTGACTTTAGATGGTGTCTAGCAACTCCCTCAGCCATTAAGTCTAGGGATAAGTGAAGGCTTCTTCTAGAAGTGTGTTCAGAAGATGGAGCTTAGACCCCATTTACCTGAATTGGGCAGTTTGTTTTCCTGTAAGCAGAAATCCCCACCAGGGTTCTAGGTTATTTCTAGCCTGGGCTTGAGTAGGCTGGATTGGAGACAGAATGTATGTATGCCTCTGAAAGCCAGATTCCTAAGAGGAGAGGAGGGGTGCTGTGGAGGAGCTGGTGACCAGTTACCTGAGATAAAAACTCTTCATTCAGTAGACAGTTCCCTTAGCATATCAGCGGGAAGCCAGAAGTGATCAGTGCAATTGAAGGAGTATGAAGGAAGCAGGGGTGGGAAGGATGGAGAGAAAAAAGGGGAGGAGAGAAATGAAGGACTTAAAGTTCTCTCACAGACTACCAACTCGTAAGTTTTCTTTGTTTCAACCCACAGTTGGTAGCAGATGTAACTGGCAGTAGTTTTTGGCTTTTATTGCTAGGTATCGTAGTGAGGTAGGTCTGAGTTCTGTTTTTGTTGTTGATGTTTAAAACCTCCAAATGGCTCTAATGTGTGTCACAGGTTGCCTATAGTAGTTTTGAAGAGTTTAAAGACTAAATCAATCAGAACTGTAATCATAAGTTCAGAACTATGTGAAGAATTGTTCATTCAAAATTTCTCCTAACCCTTACACAGCTCAGGAAGGCAGGGATTATTATTTCTATCCCAGAGTAAAGTAGGAGATGCCTCCAAAAGGTTAAGGCAACTAACAATGTTCACAGAGTAGAAGTGTAAGAACAAGGTTCCAAAGCAGATAAGCCACAGGAAGCCGCCGCCTCTGTCAGGACCTGTCTAGAAGCCTTTGTGTGTCCCTCTCTCCACTAAGGTTATTTTGTTGTTGTTGTTATTGTTGTTGTTTGTTTGTTTGACTTGGTTGTGATGTATTCTACCCTGTTGACAGCTGTGATAACTATTCTTGGTTGTTACCTTGATTACATCTGGGCTTAAACAAAAATTCGAAGTCGAGGGCACACCAGTAAGGGTTTTTTTTTTTGTTGTTTTGTTTTGTTTTGTTTTTTCTTAATTTGATGTAGGAAGATCTAGATCTTGAGAAGACTACTTCTTCATGATTCCAGCATATATTAGAGATCAGATCAGATGAGACATCACATTTTGTGGACTGAACAACTTCTGTATTCTTGGTCTTTCTGTTCCTAGTCAGCCATTGTTAGATTAGTTGGATCACAGCCTGTAAGTTGCTCTAACAAATCATAAAGAGAAGCAGGGAGAGAGAGGATATACATTGTATACATTCTGCTACTCTGGAGAACCCTGAGCAGTACAGTAGCCCTGTAGATTATTTGAGGTCTGCCTTGCATGCAGTAGGATGCTTCCCTTCTGTTTTCCTCCTGGCTCCATCATGGCTGGTGCAGTTTTCTCCTTATGGCCTCTTTTGTCTGCTGTCTTTCATTTCTCCTTGTTTCAAACCTCGGCTTTCCCTGCGACTTTCCACATTTGTATTCTTAGCTCAAGTTGTTGGTTTTTTTTTTTTTCCTTACACAGGCAAAGTATTTTATTACAGCTAAAAATCTTTTATGTAAGCGTAGTCAGTAAATATTAAGCATGCATTCTAGGCTTTATGCTATAGCAGGGTCAACCTTATTTCTAATTTCAGAGAGCTCATGATCAAGTTCCCTTTGTTAGTTTGTTTAGATAGTATTTGTGTACTATCCTTTTCATGTTCTTTTTATTAGAAACTTCCTTTCTTTAATGTATTATTTATTGACCTCTCATTCTTTTAAACTGTTTAATTTGAAGGATTACTTTATTATTTTATGTTCTCTACGTTTTTTGTAAAGCAATGCTTTCACTCTTAGGATGCTTTTCACCTACAGGCATGAGTAGTATTTTCTGAAGAAAATGCTCAAGGTATGAGGAAGCAGTTAGGTTGAGTCTCCAAACTGTTGTTATTTCTCCAAATGGAACCTAGTCTGAAGGATGGCTAGGATTGTGGGGAAACAACACGAGCTAGTAAGAAAAATTAAGAGATATTGGTTCCAAGTGAAGCCAATGTTTTTCTCTTGCTAATCAGAGTAAAAAATGCCTATTGTTTTGACCACAGGACTGACTCTCCTTTCCCTGTCCTTTTTCCCTGCCTTAAAACTTTCACTTCTGGTTGCATCCTGTTTAGGAGAAATTTTTAGTGTACTTGACCTTGCAGCCTTAGGTCATGGTGATAATACCCCAAGGTTCACTGAGTCTACTGTTCCTATAGAGTGCCTTTACTTCTCTTATGACTTAACCAGCACACCATAGCTAGCTCCCTGTCTCTTTCACCTAACTGCAATAAATAAGATCAGAGGGAAAGAAAGAAAAACATGGCTGACGTAGCCAAGCAGCCAGAAGCTTTCCCAGCCCTGGCCTTTGACTGGCGCACACTGGACCATGAGACTTTATCCAGTGTGAGCCATGTAAGGCTTGGTGAGTGGTTTGGGAGGCCTTTGTATCCTGTCATTTGTCCCCTCTGGGGCAGGTTTATACTGCTGTTACTGTGTAGGGAGTCTTGCTCAGCTTTTTTTTTTTCCTTTGGCAGTTACAGAATTAAAAGGAAGGAAAGATCTTGAGCTCAACAGGTAGCAGCAGACAAATCTTATACAACAGACAAAAACAGACAAAATCAGTAGACGAATAGCAGAGACAGAGAAAGCCCTCCACAAAGCCGGTGGGGAGTGTCTTAGGATGCTGAAAAATCCAGACTCTTCTTGAGAGCAGGGTATCTTAAGTCCCTGAACAGTTTTCCTCACTAAATTTAGGGTTGTTCAGAAAGATAGGATGGTCCACAACTGTTGGATAAACATGTCCTGATCTGGTCTAAAACTGACTAAGCCAGTCCATTGACAGGAGAAGACGACCACGTGGCCTTTGTTTTAAGCTACAAGGCTTTCATTTGCGGTCAGGAGGGTGAGGAGGAAGCCAGCTCTCTTGGCATCTCCCATCTTTAACCTAGCCATGGATCTTGTACCTATCTGTCTGTCTATCAGGGAATCTGCCTGACTTCTAGTCCCTCAACTACAAATATATCTTCGGTTTCTTTACTCTTTTTCAAAGTAAACACTATGTGGAATATTTATTATTTAATCTTCCGTTCCTGCAAGATCTAGAGGTAAAACACTGGAGATGAAAATATTCATTACCATGTTTATAAAAAGAAAACAACAGCATCACAGGCATCAAATATAGTTTTGTATAAACAGGAAAGACAAGGAGGTAACTCAGTTTTACTGTTGACTAGAGAAGGAAAACATTGGATTTTGTGTCATAGTTTGCACATTTTGAAAGTGAAAATCAGTTAAGGGAAGTCGTAACTCACAGGGCCGTTCCCTGTATCCCAGGGGAAGCCTCGGTGGCTCAGTGTCAGTGAACATTTGACAGATGTGGTGGAACACAGCATAGAGGCTCTGGGAGAGAGGATAGGCAAGAGGCTTCACAGCCCTACAGCCCAACACAATGAGAAATGCAGGGTGCTTTCTCATAAACTAGGTACAGCATTGGTCCCACTTCCTAACTCTATGCCTGGTTTGCTGACCAGTGTGAAGAGAGAACCTGGAACTTAAGAGAAAATATGGCCCCTACCAACTGCTTTGGTCAAGGTAACCAGTAAAGGGGGTTCTTGGATTGCCTCTTTAAAGGCAAACTAATATATGTGTAAGTGTCCCTAATCTGAAGAATTACAAGGTTGATAGAGATGTATTTGGCAGGTACTTTTTCCCTCTTAGGTAGAACACAGCAGTAGTGCAGTGCCTAACACAGAAGACTTGGGGGCCTCCTGAGCCAGTGAAAGCTTAGTTGATGGTTGTTAATCACAGGATACAGGTGTAAGGAGGTGTTGCTTGTGAATATTAGAACTCCTGCTCCTAATTGGGTAAAACTTACTACTCAAAAGGGAAGGGGAAAGTAAACTAAAGAATATCAAATTAAAAAAAAAAATTAACCGTCACAGAAATGGCTGAGAACAAAGAGAGGGGTCATTTTAGTCCTACTTTCCAAGGAGTGGTGGTGATGTCAGTACAATGGAGAAGTCCCACTTTGTGCCAGAATATAGAAACTTTAGTGGCTCAGTGTTTACAGTTTAGGCATCACTCCTTATAGCCGATGGTCTCTGGACACAAGATGACATTTTTGGCCTCACATGATGGGATTCCTTTGCTATATTTTTTCATCTGTTCTCTTTTCAAATAACGGCTTATTTTATTCATTACAAGGTATATGAGTCAGTTATGTAATGGAACACCACTGATAGAATTAATATGTGTATTAAATATATTAAAATAGATGATACTTAAAATAGATAACATATATTAAAAGGATATGATCATGATAGTCCAACAGTGGCATCTCACACTGAAGAGGCAGAGAATCCAACAGTTGTTCTGTTCACAGGGCCGGATGTATCGTCAGTTCCAATCTGGCCCTGATGTCCTGGAGGATTCCTGGAAGCTGTTGGTAATTAATTTACATTGCACTCCCATAGAAGTTGTTTGTAATGTCAGTGAAGAAATTTTGTAGCAACAGGATAAATGAGCCTGCCAGGGAGAATGAGAAGTGGGAAAAAGCAAGGTTTCCTTTTTCTCTAACCTTTTATCTGGACAACCACCAGAAGGTGTAGACTAGGTTTAAGGTGAGTTGTTCAAATAACCTGCTTAGGGAAACCTCTCACAGGAATGTGCCATGCCTTGGGTTTCAGTTGATTCCAGATGCAGTCAAAGTTGGTAACCAAGGTTAGCCATCACAACACAGACCAACACTGTAGCATTCATCACGTTTTGTCTTAACAGTGCTGAACCCTATTGTCATAAAGTTTCAATGACATCATTCTTCGTTCACATTGGGAGGGACTGAGAGAATACATAGATTCATCTCAGAGACTATTGGGCCAACCATAACACATTTATAACAGTGTGTGAGGTCAGCTGCCAGGCTTTAGAGGTTTTAGTTTTAAATAATAACCTTAGACATTCTGTAAATGAGAAAAAATACCCTCAAGAGTGGCTGGAAAGATTGTTTTTGTTATTCTTCCAGAGAATTCCTAGCCCCCATGCTGGGAGGCTCACAGCTTCCTGTACCTCCAGCTTTGGAGACCTGATGACTGTCTCCTAGCCTCTACAGGCACACACACACACACACACACACACACACACACACACACACACACACACAAACCTTTAAAAAATAGTAGCCTTGTGGAAGTAGGCAGAATCTCCATTTTACATATTTTTTGTGACATTTTGTTTTTTATGTCTTTTATGTTTAAGTTAAATTAGAAACAAGGTTGCTTCACATGTCAATCCCAGGTCCCTCTCCCTCTCCTTCTCCTTCCCCTCCTCCCATACCCTCCCACCAACCCCCATTCCTTACTCCCCCAATCCCTACTCCTTTCCCCAGGGAGGGTAAGGCCCTCCTTAGGGGGTATCCTTAGTCTCATTTCATCCAGGACAAGGCCTAGGCCCTCCCCAAGAGTCCAGGCTGAGAGAGAATCTTTCATTATGGGATGGGCACCCAAAGTCCATTTGTATTCCAGGGATTAATATTGATCCCAAGGCCCCATAGATTGCTTAGGCCTCCTCACTGACACCCACATCCAGGGGGCTGGATCAGCCCCATGCTGGCCTCCCAGCCATCAGTCTGGGGTTCAACAGTGCCCTTCTTCACAGACCTTGAAAGAACAATAATCAACTTTATATGAAAAAAAAAAAAGACCCAGAATAGCCAAAACAACCCTATTCAACAAAGCAACGTCTGGAGGCATCACCATCTCTGATTTCAAACTGTATTATAGATCTATAGTCCTGAAAACAGCTTGGTATCGGCACAAAAACAGTCAGGTAAACTAATGGAATTGAATTGAACACCCCGATATTAACCATACATGTATGAACATCTGATCTTTGACAAAGAAACTAAAAATACACAATGGAAAAAAGAAAGCATCTTCAACAAATGGTGCTGGCATAACTGGATGCTGGCATGTAGAAGAATGCAGATAGAACCATGTCTATCACCATGCACAAAACTTAAGTCCAAATGGATCAAAGACCTCAACATCAATCCAGCCACACTAAACTTCTTAGAAGAGAAAGTGGGTGGTACCCTTGAACAAATTGGTACAGGAGACCACCTTCTGAACATAATACCAGCAGCACAGACACTGAGGTCAACAATTAATAAATGGAACCTCCTGAAACTGAGAAGCTTCTATAAGGCAAAGGACACAGTAAACAAGACAAAAAGGCAACCTACAGAATGGGAAAAGATATTCACCAACCCCACATCTGACAGAGGGCTGATCTCCAAAATTTACAAAGAACTCAAGAAGCAAGTCTCCAAAACACCAAAGGATCCAATTAAAAAGTGGGGTATAGAACTAAATAGAGAATTCTCAATAGAGGAGTCTAAAATGGCTGAGAGGCACTTAAGAAAGTCCTCAATATCCCTAGCCATCAGGGAAATGCAACTTAAAACAACTCTGAGATAACATCTTACTCCTGTAAGAATGGCTAAAATAAAAAAAACACCAATGACAGTTTATGCTGGAGGGGATGTGGAGAAAGGGGAACACTCCTCCACTGCTGGTGGGAGTGCCAACTGGTACAGCCACTTTGGAAATCAGTATGGAGATTCCTCAGGAAAATGGGAATCAGTTCACCACAAGACCCAGCAATTCCACTCTTAGGCATATATCCAAAAGATGCACATTCATACAACAAGGATGTCTGTTCGACTATGTTCATAGCAGCATTATTTATAATAGCCAGAACCTGGAAGCAGCCTAGATGCCCCTCAACTGAAGAGTGGATAAAGAAAATGTGGTACATTTACACAATGGAGTACTATTCAGTGGAAAAAAACAATGGAATCTTGAAATTTGCAGGCAAATGGATGACACTAGAAGAAACCATCCCGAGTGTGTTGACCCAGTCACAGAAAGACAAACATGGTATGTAGTTACTCATATATGGATTTTTAGACTTGGAACAGGGGAGTGCCAGCCTACAATCCCACTGCCAGAGAGTCTGGGAAACAGAACCTTCTACCAATGACTGATGGAAGCAGAGGCAGACAGCCACAGCTAAACGCTGACCTTAACGCAGGAAACCCAGTGACAGAGAGGGAGGACTAATGAGCCTAGGGGTCAAGACTGGGCTCGTTTAATCCACAGAATCAGCTGACCTAAACATTTTACATATTTTTTATTCTTTAAGAATTTCATGCATATGTATAAGATCTCTATCATAAATACTCCATATTTTCCCCTAACTCCTCCCAGACATCCTCTCACCATCTCTCTCAATTTCATGGCCATTAAAAAAAAATCTAAGTCCAATTAGTGCTGCCAGTGTTTGAGTGGGTGTAGGGCCATCTGTTGGAGAATAGGCAACATGTTTTGTGTAGACTTGTTTTTAAGTAACTTATTTTTTGTTAGTTAGCTTGGAGGGTACACGAATATCCATTATTATCATGTGCTGTTGAATGTCTTGGGTTTTATAGGCAAAGAACATAATGTAGGAGAATAGAATGATGTATTCTAGCTTCAGATGCCTCATTCACTACTAAAGAAAGGCAGTTTGCAGGAGTCAGAGATTTTGCAGGACTTAAGGTTAGAAGAGCCATGGGGCATGGACTCACCTCTCTGCCTGAAAGAGTTACAATGTATGAAATGTTGCACTCAAGGTATTAGACAAGGAGTTACAGTCTCTTAGAAGATAGGAACTAAATGGGCCCCAAATTGGTCCAGATTGATGCCTGGAGGAAAGGACAATGCCGTGGAGTACTAAAAGGGTACCCAGGAAGTGTTGCTGCCACTGATACGAGAATGGAGGTAGGTGCTTAGGGAAGATAGGTTAAGAAGGATTGTAGGGCAGACGCCATTAAAGGCTCTCCAGCCTGAAGGTAATACTGGAAACTACGTGAAGCAGGAGTTCTCTGTGATGTTGGTTTACAGAGCTTTCAGGTGTAACACCAACAACACAATGCATAAAAGAACAGTTAAATTGTATTTAATCTAAACTAAGAACTTGCTCTTAGAAGATACTGTAAAGGAGTAAAAAGCTAAATAATTGTCTTTGTTAGGTCATACTTAGCATAAAAAATTATTCACAGCCCTATGATCATTTTTCGAGACCAGAAGTCTTTATATAGGGGAGTGTAAGAAAATGTCTACACATGGAGAATATGTAGCTAATTCTCAAGGTACATGAAAACAATCCAATTAAAACTGAGAAAAGTCAATAGAAATGTCAAGGAAGCACATAAAACTATTATCATTAGTCATTAAGAAAATACAAATTAACACCATAAGGTGGTAACTGTTGCATACCTCTTAATATGATCATGTTTGAAAACATCTGTCCTCACAAGAGATGGTGATAATGTGTAGAGGAACTTGGACTTAATGGGAATGTAAGATGGGACTTATAAATGCGTTGCATTTGTTCAGCTCATGTTTGAGCAGTTGTGTTGGTGAGACTATGGATGTAGCTTCTGATATTAGGAGATACAAGCTCACAGCAAAGTCCCTGATCCTCTGACTCTTACACTCTTTCTGTCCCTTTTCCACAATGTTCCCTGAGCCATAGGTGTTGGGAGTCTTTTATAGATGTATCCATTGGGACTGTGATCCAGAATCCTGCATTTTGATTGGTTGTGTTCTTCTGTAGTGATCTTCCTCTGTTTCAAAGAGAAGTTTCTTTGTTGAAGAGTAAAGACTATACTTATCCATGGGTACAAGGGGGGAAGATTTGGAAGGAGGAAAGGGAAGTGACAAGTGTGATTGTATTATAGTCCCCCAAATAAATAAAATAATAAAATGAATGCATTGTCAATATATCGAATATAGATATGTATTAATTATTAATATATTCAAATGTGCTCTTTATGGTGATGCACACCTTTGATTCCAGCATTCAGGAGGCAGAAGGAACTTTGTGAGTATGAGGACAGTGTTTTCACATAGTTTTAGTCCAACCAGGGCGACATAATAAGACCTGAAGAAGACAAAAAATTAAACCTATGCCACTGCTCATTCTACTCCTACTTCTTTACCCATGACAATGAAAATGTATTTATACTTGTATTTGCACGTGTTTCTTAGATTTTAATTTGCAATAGATCCTGAATGAAAAAAACAATGTTCCTTTAAAATGTAGAATTCATAAACAAATTGAGGTTATCCACTGATGTCCACACTACCTTAGATGAATCTCAATATAACTATGCTAAGTAAAAGGGGTCCGAACTCAGAGGTGTTAGGAAGCATATTATATGATTACATTTACAGAAAACAACAGAAATTTAAAATAACCCATAGTGGCAAGTGGCTGCTGGAGGGAAGAATGAAATAACCATGGCACATGAAGAAACTCCTTGAACTGTGGGCATGTTTGCTATCTTGTTTTCATGCCTATATGTACATATATAACATATGCATATGTATATATATTCAAGCCCAGATCATCAAATAATATCTTCTAAATATCTCCCAATGTGTGCCTGTTCTATACATCTGTTAAGTCTCTATAAAACTGTTTAAAAATTGTGAATCTAATGTGGGTTGTTTTCCTACACTTTATATAGCATATTAAAATAATGTTGAACATTTCATTCACATGAAAAATTAGGTTATAATGTTCCTATCTTCAGTGGGCTATGGTGATAATACAATGACAAAAATAAGTGTCTTTTCTAGGCAGTATTTTACATAAGACATACTTATAGCCCTATATTTTGAGTCCTGTGATTTTAAAATGTTACTTTTATATTTAAATTTTAATTTGGAAGATATATAAACTGTTACAATCATTGTCATTTTCATCACTAGATTTTTACAACAGTTCATCCTGTCTTCTGTGTGTGTGTGTGTGCACTTACCTAAATTTTCTCATAAGTAGTTCTGACAACTATTTTTCTAACAGACCTGCTTTTCTTTTTAAAATTGGAAACCATCATCTATTTGAGCCCTTTCTATTGGTTTCTCTGTATCTGTTGTTTAGATTCAAATACTGACAAGCATAATTCTGGCATTTAATTTTTACCTATTAAACTAATGGGTTTGAATCTAATGGAAACTTTTGAATTCTTGGGAAGATACAGTTCATGGGCCAATAGCCTTCATATTTTTACTATATTCTGAATTCTTCAAAATTTTATATGGTATGGTTTTAAATGTGATGGAATTTCCTCCTACTTTCATATTGCTTATACATTATATAAAAATACTAAATTGAACATTCACATAGAAGCCCAAATTCTTCTGGGCTTCTTTGTCAAGCTGATTAGTACACAGAATAAATGTCTACTTGGACTTCACATATTGTACCAGCGTCTGACATAATAGAACTATGAACTCAAAAGATCACAAATCTGGCTATTGAGAGGTTGTAGAAATATTAGGAAGTGGGGTCTAGTTGAATGGAGTAGGTCACTAGAGGCATGCCTAGGGGCAGAATATTGGGTCTGTGACTCCAGACTCTTTTTACTTCCCAGCCATCGTGTAATGAGTAGCTTCACTCTCTGCATGCCCCAGCAGAAGTGTGCTGCCTTGCCACAGGCCCATAGCAATGAAGTTCAAGGACACTTGGACTGAAACCTTCAGCCCAAATAACCTTTTTCTGTTTGAAATTCATTTATCTCCAGTTTACACACAGAGGTGGGAAGCTGAGTAACACATTGCCCGTGTCCCTTTTCTGGGCATTGCTGGGTCTGCTTTCTAAACATGTACTTTCCGAGAGGAGTACAGTGTCCACAGCAGTGAAGACTTTCTGGGAGTGAGGGCTCTGCCGCTTCTTCCCTTTGTGAATGTAGTCCGATATCTCCCTCTTTCAAACTCTGTTCCCCTGATATTCATAAGTTGCCAGACACCAAATTCTTACTGCCCATAGATCATTTCTCAGAGGCTATCATCTGACATGACGTTGAGAGCATGAACAAACAATAAAACTAACTCATAAATGACATCCTATGCTGGAGAGGATGTGGAGTAATGGGAGCACTCCTTCACTGCTTGTGGGAGTGCAAACTTGTCCAGCCACTTTGGAAATCAATATGATGGTTTCTTCAGAAAATTGGGAATCAATCTACCTCAAGTCCCTGCTATACCACTCCTGGGCATATACCCAAAGGATACTCAATTATACCCTAAGGACACTTGCTCAACTATGTTCATAGCAGCAACCTAGATGCCCCTCAACTGAAGAATGTGTAGAGAAAATATGGTACACTTACACATGGAGTATTATTACTCACCTGTTAAAAAGCGATGACATCAGGGAATCTGAAGGCAAATGGAAATAGAAAAAATCATCCTGTGGTAACTCATACCCAGAAAGACAAATATACTATATACTCAATCATAAGTGGATATTAGCTATAAAGTAAAGGATAACCATGGTACAGTCCACATACCCAGAGAGGCTAGGTAACAAGGAGGGCCCAAAGAGGTACACATGGATCTCCCTAGGCAGTAGGGATAGAAGAGATATCCTGCATGGACTGGATGCAGATGGGGTTGAGAACTTGAGGGCTCAGGTTAGGGGTCAGATGAAGGGGGAGAATGCTAAAAGATGACTGGAAAAGGGGGACATTTTGTGGACATGTAGAAACCTGATACAAAAGAAACTCCCATGAATCTATAAGGATGACCCCAGCTAAGACTCCTAGCAATTGTGCATGGATAGCCTGAACTGGTCATCTCCTGTAATCAGATTGGTGACTACCCCAATTGTCATCAGAGAGCCTTTATCCAGTAACTAATGGAAACTGTGTCAGAGACTCACAGCCAAAATATTATCCCAAGCTCTAGGACTCCTGCTGAAGAGAGGAATGATTGTATAATCTAGGAGGATGAGGTCAAGGACACCACAAGAAAAATCATAGAAACAAATAACCTGACTCACAGTAACTCAAGAGTCTGGACCAATAACCCGGGAGCCTGCATTGGACCAACATAGGCCCTCTATATATGTGTGACAGTTGTGTAGCATGGTCTACAACTTGTAGGACTCCTTACAATGGGAACACAGGTTGTCCCCGATGCTTTGGTTGGCTCTTGCAAACCTATTCCTCATACTGGATTGCCTTGCTCAGCTTTAATGCAAGGAGAGGTGATTATTATGTCATGCTTTGTTGATACCCATGGGTGGCTTGTCTCTTTCTGAACAGAAACAGAGGATTGAGAGGGGGAAGGAAATGAGAAGAGAGGGTAGAGGGGAAACGCGATCAGGCTGTAAAATGAATAAACAATAAACTAAATTTAAAAAGAAGTAATTCAATTAGTATGGCAGTTCCTCAGGAAAATGGGAATCAACCTGCCATAAGATCCAGCAATTCCACTCTTAGGCATATACCCAAAGGATGCACATTCATACAACAAGGACGTCTGTTCAACTGTGTTCATAGCAGCATTATTTGTAATAGTCAGAACCTGGAAGTAACCTAGATGCCCCTTAACCAAAGAATGGATAAAGAAAATATGGAATATTTATACAATGGATTACTACACAGTGGAAAAAAACAAAACGAAAACAAAAACAATGGAATTTTGAAATTTGCATGCAAATGGATAGAACTAGACAAAATCAATCTGAGTAAGGTAACCCAGTCACAAAAAGATAACCAATGTATGTACTCACTCATATATAGATTTTAGACACAGAGCAAAGGATTACCAGCCTACAATCCACACTGCCAGAGAAGCTAGGAAACAAGGAGGACCCTAAGAGAGACATACATGGTCCCCCAGAGAAGGGGAAAGGGACAAGATCTCCTGAGCTAATTGTGGACATGGGGGGAGGAGGGAAGGGAGTTAGGAGAAAGAGAAGTAGAGAAGAGGAGGACATGAGGGAGCAGGAAGATTGAGTTAGGGGAAGAATAGAGGAGAGCAAGAAAAGAGATACCATAAGAGAGGGAGCCATTATATGTTTAAAGAGAAATCTGACACTAGGGAAATGTCAAGAGATCTACAAGGATGACACCAACTAACAATCTAAGCAATAGTGGAGAGGCTACCTTAAATGCCCTTCTCTGACAGTGAGATTGATGACTACCTTATATGCCATCCTAGAGCCTTTACCCAGTAACTGATGGAAGCAGAAGCAGACACCCAGAGGTAAACACTGAGCTGAACTCCTGGAATCCAGTTGCAGAGTGGGAGGAGTGATGAGCAAAGGGGTCAAGACCAAGCTGGAGAAACCCACAGAAACAGCTGACCTGAACAAGGGGGAGCTCATGGATCCCAGACTGATAGCTGGGAAGCCAACATAGGACTGATCCAGAGACCCTAAACATGGGTGTAAGCTAGGAGGACTGGGCAATCTATGGGGCCTCTGGTAGTGGATCAGGATTTATCCCTAGTACACGAATGGACTTTGGGATCCTACTCCACATACAGGGATATTCTCTCACCCTAGACATGCGGGGAGGGTCCAGGCCCTGTTCCCAGTGAAATGACAGACTTTGAAGATTCCCCATGGAAGGCCTCACTCTTCCTGGGGAGTAGAAAGGGGATGGGATAGGGGTCAGTGGTGGACAGGGGAGGAAGGGATGGAGAGAGAACTGGGATTGACATGTAAAACCAGCTTGTTTCTAATTTAAATTTAAAAAAGAAAAAATAACTCATAGTCATGTCTATGCACCAATAAGCAATCAATATAGCCCAAATTCAAAGAATTTTGTTCAAATTACTCCAGTGAGTCTCTTTTCTAGCTAGTAAGATCATTGTCTCTTCATGTGTTCTCTCCCTTTCTAGATTAACATTAATAAGGTACCCTGTTTGGCTTTTTCACATTCATTTAAGATATTCTGCTTCCTCACAATCTCCTGTGCTGGGCAAAGCCCATTTTTCTTAAGCCATCAACATTCTACAATACAAGGTCAGATTCTATTCTGTATGTGATCCGACATCTGAGGTTTTACTGACAGGGAAAAACTGTCCATTGCTTGATTAATAAAAAACTATCTTGAGTTTGCCTTTCATATTTGATCTGGCCAATCTAAACCCCACTTAATCTTTAGGAAAACCTAACCCTCTACCCTAAATATCCCAAAACAACTTATCCTCAATGTCATGGAGGCTCTGTACCTTGCAGTTTGCCTTTGTATCCAGTAGCCTCCTGAACTGAGAGAAGCTGGCCTGTCCTAACTAACCTAGTCAACTTACTTACTCTGCCTTGTTCAAACTAAAGTCAAGAACCGCCCCCCCTCTCTCTCTCACACACACACACTTGAGGTCAACCTTGTTATTCCTACCTGGAGCCTGTACAACATGGCATACCATGTTCTTTCCACTTAGACTCCATTATCAATAAACCATATTTTTATCTGTACCCCGATATTAAGTTTCTCCACTGATGTAATAAATCAGATAAGGCCGAATTAATAAATCCAGGTTTAAGCAAAACATTCCCAGGGAAAGAAGAGAAATCCGCAAGGGAGAATGATGAGGGGCCTTACATATCCTCAGAGGATGGAGCCACCAATGGTGGGCTTTCTCAGGGGAGGGGTCTGAAATGGGAAGAGGAGGACTGGGTGGAGCTTCCAATAGCTCTCATCTTCAGATCCTTGCAGTCACCAAACCTGCATAAACCCCAAATCCCAGATATAGTTCATTACACTTGTAAATCCTTCCCTGTCATTAAGATGTTCCATAGTTTCCCTGGCATGTGGTCTTTTGTCAGTGAAATGAGCCTATCATCCTAAGTTTATTCAAGGACTGGTGGGTTTCTATTGGCCTTAAGCAGATGACAGTATGATAAAGGAGTGATTAATGTGAAGTCCGGTAACTAGAAGCATTGAAAACCTCAAACATATTGTATAGAATATTATCTAACTCCTTTATCCATGGCACACTGGCTCAGGAAATGACCTAGTGGGTTAATACACGTTTCTCTTAAAAGAAATAGAATGTAACAAATGAGACCGAAGTTACTGGAAGCCTTTTGTGATGTGGCTTAGGAAACAGGAAGCCCATCTATGATGATAGAGAAAAAAAAGAACCCAATGCTTCCACAGGATTCTGTGGGTCCCTCGCTCGTGCCTACTGACAAAACAAACAACCTTTGAAATTTTTACAAGGAGTAAGTGTATCAATTGCTTTTCTTGTTGCTATGAAAACAATAACTGAAGAAAAGCTACTTACAGGAAGGAGGATTTGCTCTAGCTCACAGTTTAGGGAACAGTTGATCATCCAAAGTCAGGATCAGGGAGAGCAGGATGCTCAGACTCAGCTAGCTTACTTCTTTTTATTCAGTAAAGGACTACTGCCCACATTCAAGGCAGGACTTCTCTCATTCATTACATCTTTCTGTAACATCCAGAGATGTTTACATTGTGATTCTAAGCCCAATCAGGTTCCAAATGAACCGTAAGTTTATAAGGTATAAAGAAAATAATTTCTGCCTTTTTTCTTCAAAGTCTGGGAACTATGGGTTTAATTCATTCAATTTCTGTACAATGTTCAAAATTTTTCAAAGGTTAGTATGATGATTTGAATGGAAATTGTCCCCATAGACTCATAGGGAATACCATTATTGGCTCTGTGGCCTTCTTAGAAGAAATGGGGTGGGCTTTGAGGTTCTAGAAGCCCAAGCTAGGCCCAATTAATAAATTGCTGCCTGCCAATCCAGATGTAGACCTCTGGGCTCCTTCTCCAGGACCATATCAGCCTGCATGTCACCATGCTTCCTGCTATGATGACAATGAACTAAACCCCTAAACTATAAGCCAGCCCCAATTAAATGTTTTCCTTTATAGGAGGTGCTGTGGTCATGGTGTCTCTTCACAGCAATAGAAACCCTAAGACAGTTAGTAATAGCCAATCATCTTTGTCACAACAGTCAGCCAAAAAGAAGAATGATATTTGATTCAAGAAACATCTATCTTTATTTTTCCCCAGATCAAGTAAACATGGTAAAACCCCCTGCTAGACGGCCGATCACTACCCAACTCTGAGATAGACAGGCTCACATGTTTGATGTCATGGTGAAAGAGATGTCCTCCTAGGTTGATCTCCATTGCCTGGCTGCTCCACGATGTCCTTCAGCTGTTATTTCTGGGATTATCTGCATTGCACACACTACACATCCCACTAGGGAAGAAAGCACCATTTTTAAGATGGAGAGTCCTGACTTCCTTTTCATACAGAAGGAGATGGGTGACCATGAGAGCTCATGGAAGAGAAAGAAGTGGCTGAAAAGACCACTGCAGTATTTGAACAGATCAAATTTTTTTGAAGAGTGAAAAAGAAATTTGAGAATCTAGAAAATAATTCCTTCACACTATTCCTATCTGTTTGGCTTGTGGAGGGTTGTTCTGTCTCCTCAGCCGGGTAGGCGTCTCTTGTGGAGATGGATATTGTAGCTTAGGCAGTGAGTCCTTGCCCTGAAGGAGCATCAGTGGCCTCTTGGGGGCTTCTGTAAATGCAACTGCCACCTCTGTGGAAGATTCTGATTCTGAGAGCACATTTTAATTAATCTCCAGGAGAGGCTGCATAGCTCACAGTTGGCTGCCATGTTTAAAAATCACTGCTCTGAATGGCCCATTACAATCTCCTGAGGGTAGGATGGCATGGGGGGGGCAGATCAGGGTCTGAATACCTAGCAGTGAGATGTGGAAGGGAAAATAAAAATAATACTATAAAAAATAAACGGATAAATGCTCCCTTTCGAATATATGCTCTTAGATTTCCTCCCCTCTCTTATCCTAGACCATTTATGTTACAAACATATAATTATAAATATTATTTCTCTCTCTGAAATGTCTGAACACCCTTTTGGAACTAGATAGGTCTTTTGTGAGTCTGATGACCGGGGAATGTCTTGCTCAAGGACCTGGGCTCTACCTCTTTGAAACTTAGATATCAAGGGAGACAACACCCATTCTCATTCCCATCGGCTCTGTGGGGTAGGAGGAGCCTCACCTCTGTAGTGCTTCACTCCAGACTGTAGAACTGCCTCAAGCCAGAAAAAAACTGTTACTCTTCTGGTTGAATCAAGCAAACCAGCAGTTACCAGGTGTCACCCAGTACTGACTTGAGGAGAGGCGGTTAATTTGGAGATCTGAGTAACACAGGCTGTATTTGATTGACTCCGCATTTCCTGATGAACTGCCTACCGTGTGTGCCACATCCCGACTTCACGCTTATTCAGTAATTAAACTGATTCGTTTCTGTCCCTGCCGTCTTTGTGGAGAGGTTTTCTGGGTCAAGGGAAGACTTTATTGTTTGCTATTGCCCTAGCAACTAGCAATATTTTTTTTAATCACAGGTTCCTTGGGAGAAGCAGCGACTTTAAGTCAGAAACTGTAGCTCTGTGGAAGCTGTATGTTGTGGCCACTAGGGCCAGAAGCCAGCTCGTGGGGATTGCCATAGAACCAGCAGGTCAGGTCCCTTAATCTGAGCCCAGTGGTCACACTGCCCAGGTGTGTGTCAGAAGCTCGCGAATGAGTGACTGGAACTGGACATGCGCAGAGTGCTCTTCCTTCTACCCCTCCCCTTCTCCCAGGCTAGGTTCTGAGGACCCCTTTCCCTCAGCCTCTCAGTTCTGTCATCCGAGGAGGTGCTCTTGACTACTGACTGAGTGCCTGCCCTGTGCAGGCTGTGGGATTGCAAAAAACTGACCTCCCAAATGCTGCCGTGCTCAAGATGGGTCACTTTTTCTGTGGTATTTCTACCTCCTCTTCCGTGCTCTGCTATCAACCGACACGATTTATAATCTCTCCTCGGTAGGCATTAAGGCTGGAAAGGGTCTGTCCACATTTTCAACTTCTCTTTCCAGGCTTGCCACCTGCCTCTACCTGCCCTATCACACAAGGATGCTATTTTGCCCTGAATCCTAGGCTCAGAGTTTCTCATGGTGTGTGGAGGCTTATCAAGTGGGAGCATCCCTGTAATATGATCTGAAGGATACCAAGTCCCTTATCGCAGTATGTCACCCTGAGGCTTTTAGCACAGTGATGAGTGGAATTAGAAGCCGAGACAGAAAGTGACAAGAAACTGCTCCCCAGCCTGTATCTGGGCTGCATTTGTGAATCGTACCTCGGGTTCATTTAGCCCAAGCTGGCTTTGGGTACCAATATTCCTGCCTCCCTCTACCTTTCAAGTGCTGTCACATGCCACACTATCTTCATTTTCAACACTAGTAGTCCCCATTGTTATTTTTTTAAATGAAGAAAATTTACTCATTTCGCTCACTGAAAGCTCCTACTTCAGGCTGTTTGCGTAGCTAGAATTCAGACCAGAGCATACAAAATTGCTTTTCAGTGGTCACCTGGCACTGAGGCTCCGTGAGAGCTAAAACACTGCTTCCAGGGAGCCAGTATCAGCAAGAAGAGAGCTGTCTCCAAGGAGAAAAGACGGACAAGACTTTTAGAAAAAAAAAAAAAACATTTCCTCGGCCCATACCACAAATGTATCACGAAGTCTAACCGTCTTATTTTCTGCAGGTTGTCCCATTGATTGAATTAAAGACAAACAAATGGTTGGATGAATATTTAGTAGCTCCTCTATGTGGTTTCTTATGTGGCCATTTTCCTACATTTCCAGCTTTAATGATGCATGCATAAAAAGAATCAAGAAAAAGGCATGCACAGACCTTCATCTGAAATGTGGAAGCCAGAGGTTTGTGGATTCAGGTGTTGATAAATTTGTGGCAAACTCATTTGGCACCCAAACAACACCTGAAAAAACCCTTTACTTGAAATTTAGTTATCCCATTTAGTGTGACTGCTCTGTTTCCATGAGTGGAACGTCAATGTTAAATAGGAGTGTTGCTCCATATGCTACACATAGCATGCATTAGCAATGTCATTTATCTCTGAATTTAAAGCATGTGTAGTACATAACGTTGAGATATGCAATCATAGAGCTACATTATAGTTATTTGTTGATGTGGAGGGATGTCATGTCTTTGTAAGACAAATTACATTTGTGTATATGCTCATTTACAAATTAATGTAAATGTTTCTTCTATCATTTGCCAAACATTAGGGGCAAGGTCTTTTGCACATTCTCCTGTTGTATGAAACACAGATTCTCCAGCCGATGTTTCAAGCTCATCATTCCTACTCCATAATTTCTGCATTCAAGTACTACAGAAAGAACAAGAAAGGCAGGACAAATATGCAGTGCAAACTACAGGACATTTTGATGCTTCTTCACTTATTTTTTAAAAAAACCATGTGGAGAACATACTACATGAAAATTTTGGTTTTATTATCAAATTCAATTTTAATTTCATTTAAGGTGGCTAAAATGCAGCTTAAATACAAAACCATTTAACTGCATTTCAAGGTATATTGAGGTGAATATAAGATTTACTTCTATGGTTACTGTAAAGCCAATGCTAAGGAAGATCTCCTACTTGAGCAAATTAGATAACAACTTCCTTGCTGTACGACTAGATGTTTAACCTCTGGTTTTGCCATTATCATTGCTTTATGAACAAAGATAAGTTAGGTATTAACAAATTCACCTAGCCATCAAGTTTTCCATCTGTCTACCATCATTGTATTGATTCTGCCAGCTACTAATTTGTATTTTTATCACTATTGCTGTCAACTTTACATGACTATGACAAAAAAAACTGAGATAACCAACTTAACTGGAGAACACGTGTATTTGGGCTCAGGATCCCAGAGGTATTGTTACACATTCAGTTCTCCCTGTTGCGTTTGGACCTATGGGGCTATGTGACATTATAGTAGGACCATGTGGCAGCTGGAATGAAAGGAGGAAAGAGAGGGAGGTTCTGCAGTTTCCATATCTCTTGCAAGAGAACACTTGCTGTGACCAGACTTCCTCTCACAGGGCTCTACCTCTCCAGAGTTTCACTGTCTCCTAGTAACGGCCACAGGTTGGCAGTGAAGCCTTTGGGGGACAGTCTAGAAGCAAGCCACAGCAACCACATACTTCTGAGGTACTGCTAGATTCCAATAGGATTAGCATTTTGAATTTGTCCTGGTAGCACTTGAGAGAGAAGAGTGCTACAATTCAGGAGGAGATTTCTTTGAATTTAGAAGAAACATTTAACAAGACAGATGATATTTAAAAGGGTCTGAAGGACAGATAATAAAAAATTCTGGGCTTGGAAGTCAGAACACCTAGCTTCAGATCCCATGCTATTCTTTTGGGGGGGGGGGGGGGGGTGTAAAGGGAAGCCTTTTCCTTGAGAGAAGCCTTCCCACCAGCCTGATTCCAGAGCCGCAATAGTCCCAAATAAACACACAGGAGGCTATATTAATTATGAAGCTGTTGGCCTTGCTTGTTTCTTACTGGCTAGCTCTGACTTAAGTAATTACCCCATAATTGTTAATATAAGTATTTCTCTTACCGGAGACTAGTTCCCGGCTTCCTACCGCATGGCGTTACATCTTGACTCTCCTTGTTTCTCCTTCCCAGATTCCTCCTGGACTCCTAGTCCCACCTATCTTGGTTCCCTATTGGCCAACAGTGCTTTATTGACATCTACACAGGACTTCCCCCATCAGGGGGGGTTTCGCGACAGAGTTTCTCTGCAGCTTTAGAGGCTGTCCTGGAAGTAGCTCTTGTAGACAAGTCTAATCTTGAACACACAGAGATATGCCTGCCTCTGCCTCCCAAGTGCTGGGATTAAAGGTGTGCTCCACCACCGCCCAGCTCCTCATGCTATTCCTTATTCGCTAAGTGATCCATGACAATGTGTTTAACCCATCCCATCTGTATTCCCTTGTCTATAAATGAGACAAAAATGTTACAGCATTACTTTCCAAGTTTGCTCTAAGGATGAGTATATCATTCTACATTAGTTTTGAAATAAATAAGTAACAATACTTACACACATGGTAAGCATTCAATAAATTCCTGTCTTACCCCTTGCATTTGATTCCTTTTAATTCTTAGGTTTTTCCTGTTGTTCATGAAATTCCCTGGTTCATTCATTTTTTTTCAGTCATTTAAACATTCACTGAACAAATATAATATACCTGATACAATGGTGGTAGGAGTTCAAAAAGATTCAAAATCCATGAAGAGTCTAACCACATAACAGAGGAGAGACCAGTAAGAGGAATCAGTGTGCGGTAATCAGAGGGAAGGGAAGAACACATTGCCTTTACCCTAGAAGACAGGGCTGAGAATACAGAGTTCTGGTTGCCTTGGAAACTGATAATCCATAAACACGTCCTAGGAGACGTTTTCAACAAGTAGCTAAGAAACTCTTTATAAAACTACCCATTAGGCAGCAGTAAGAAGGGGAGGGAAGTCCAAATTGTTTGCTGTAGGGGGAGACAGGACTGCTAAATCTCAGAGCCCTAACATCCTCCACTATGTGCCCTTGAGTAGGTTACTCAATTTCTCTATGCATGTTTCCTCACCTGGAGATAACTGAACTTATTTCATGAAAATGAAATATGTAAGCCACTGAACATTTGCACATATTAGGTATTTGATACATAGTGACAGTTATTGTTACTACCATAAGAATTCTTGCAAACAATAAAATAGTTTTCCTTTTAGAAGAACAGGTATTTTAGTGACAAAATGTTTCTCTTGTTCCTGTAACTTCAACTTCTTGAGTAAACCATTATCTCTAATCTAATACACTGCCTGAAATATGTGCCCTTTACAGCAGCAAAAGGAACCAATGTTACTATCATCACAGGTGCAGATCTGGTACTCTGGTGGAAATGTCTCTTTGCAGAAGTTTGTGTTCCCTCTCAAAGTCTGATCATGACCACCCTGATATGATGAACATAGTAATTCCTCAGGATTCTTTACAAGAAAAACGCTTAAAAACAAAACAAACAAAACAAAACTAATTTCCCATTTGTTTTACTTAGACCCTAGCCCTGAATTCTTGATTTAAATTTTTATTTATTCTTTGGTAATTTCATACATGATAATTTTTTTATTCTCTCTTTCCATCTGACAAAAGGCATGGGCCCAACTGATGGTTGACTTGAAAGTTACATGCACAAAACTCAATCCGTGCAGAAGCCATGCGAGTGAATCACTAGCTCATTTTCAAAGACGAAAACGGTGTTTTCATTTGTATCGAAATAAGAACTTCTCAGGTTTTGGTGGCTACTGGCAAGCTGCTGTCATTCCCTGTGGCCTAAGCAGGAACCCAGGAACCTACCCAGTTATTCTTTGTTCCCGGAACAGTCATTGGGGCTGAGCGATGAGATTTGCTTTACGTTTTTGGTGTCACACAGGGCAGTCAGCTTGACTTTGAGCTCAGAAAGAGCCGGAATTCGTGCCAGAACCCAGAAAGCTTAAAGTGCTTCCTCTTCCCACTACCAGGAGTAGTTACGAGTTTACAGAACTTGCCACACCTTTGGGCTGTGTGTTAAGGCTCCATTTCGTCTCTGGAGCCAAGGGATTCCATCCCAAAGGTCAAAGCAGTCGGAAGTTGCTATGTTATCTGACAGGATGAATCTTTCTCAGGGGTGGATCCCAAGTCCCTGCAGGTGGCTGAGCAGCAGAGATCACTCTGCACCCAAAGTCAATGCCTTGGCTTCCAGATTCTCACAGACATCAAAGGCTCATGGGGTTTGCCCGGATTCAGAGGCGAGGAGGTATTGGAGGCAGTATTAATTATTGGCTCTTGCTAACCTCCCCACCTACCTCGTGAAGCCCTGCGGGTTCAGAAGCCCATAACCCAGGATTGCGCAGGCTTTTCTTGGCAGAGACAATCAGTGCATCGGGAACTTTCCATTTGCCACTTGCCAAGGCTCTGCGCCAGCATGCAGTCAGTGCGCTTGGCTTGAAAGCATTCTTGGGTGATGTGCTGGGGCTGAGGTTTGTTCTCACTTGCTCTCACCATGTGTGGGAAGGAAGCTGTGGCTGGGCATGCCCAATTTCTCACTGATCTGCCCTGCTTCGGGTCGGAGGTTCTCAGGCTGTGGACGGCAGCCAGGCACTGGCAGGAGGCTTACAATCCTCCAATTATTTTCAAAGCACTGTTTGTTTCCTCCAGTGATGAAGTCAGAATGCCATGAACCGTTTTCCCTTTGCTTTGCATAGTTTCGGGCCCCAACATTTTAAGTCCCAATATCACATTTTTCTGATGCTATCCCCTTTGCAAATGTTTGCAGCATAACCTTTGAGGACGAGCGGCAGAACCTGTTAGAAATCTTCACGAGGAAACATTTGTTAGCTGACTCTAGTCCCCACTCCCCTCCCCTCCCAGGATTTCATTTCCACTTAGCATGTAGCCAGTAATGTCTTTTTATTATGATCAGAAATTTAATTATGTATGTATTTGAAACCTGAACCATTAAGTCTACAGATCTCTTGAAAATGCCATTTGCCAGGTGTGCAATCACAGTCAATGTGCAAAAATGTCGCACAACAATTAGATTTTAAAGCTTAACTTACTGCAAACGGGCTGAGGGACTAGCTCTTTAGATGGAGAGAAATGGCTCTGGAGACATTAGAGCAAATCAGGAGAGAGTCTGAATAAGTGAGAAGCAAAATGAAGAGGACAATGAAGAGGACTGGGTCCCTACAAAAGATACCAGCAAGGGGAAAGAGATTGAAGCAAAGAAGGAAATGGAGGCCATAAGAGAAAAAGGGAGCAGATCCCTCTAACAGAGCCCCTGCTGTCCTCTTCCCTGTCTATGGAGACTTACCTAAGTTGAGGCAGCCAGGCCTTCTGAGAGTTCCCAGGTCACCACACCCCCTCAGTGTGTCTGTCTGTTTCCTTATGTACTGTTCTACCCTTCACATCGTCATCATGATTTATTAGCTGTCTTTCCTACTCGACTTTCAACTCCCCAAGGTCAGGGATTTGGGAGAAATGTCTAAGACAGTATTTCCTTGTTAGATAAGATGTCTGTGACCACAGTTGTCCAAGGGGCAGGTAGAATTTCCCATAGGCTTGGGATAGACAGACCTTCCACATAAGCTCCTACAAGTAAGGACTTGGAATGTGGGGACTGTCAGTACACAGCCTTAGCTTTCAGCCCGTACCTAGGGATGGCCCAATCTTATCAGGGATGTCTGCATTCCAAAGGAATATTTTTGGAATATGGTCACATCCAGTGCCTAGGATGGACATCTGTACCTGGCTGGGGAAACTCTGAGGGGGTATTTTAGTTCCACAGAGTCATGGAGAGCCTGTCTAATGCTATTGGTGGCTTTTTCAAGTTGACCTTTGTCTTTGTCCACTTTATTTTATTTATTATATCTATCATCTATCTATTTATCTGTCTTCTATCATGCACCCCCGTGTGTGTGTGTGTGTGTGTGTGTGTGTGTGTGTGTGTGTGTGTGTGTGTCAACCAAAGGTAAACTTCCAGTGTTGTTTCTCCTTGTTTCTTTGAGATTAGATTTCTCATTGGAACCTGGGGCTAATAGATTGGCCTTGAATGGCTAGCAAGTGATCCCGTGGCATCCATCTGTCTCTGCCTTCTCAGGATTACAACCCTATACCATCATGCCTTGCTTTTTTTAATTAGTGGTAGGACTTGAACTCAGGGTCGCATAAAAGTAAGAACTTTATCTACTGGCTAATAATACCCATCCTTCCATCTCCTTTTCTGTTTCTGCTCCTCACCTCCACAACTCTTTGTCCAAGGTAACCCATGAAGATGCTCAGCACATCAAGTCCCAGCTCAGAGTCTATGAGCAAGAAAACTCTATTTGTACCATCTTTCAGTTGAGGTTAAAGGCTAATAAAGACAAAAGGTACTGAGTTTAAGTAGACACGTCTTAATGTTTCCAATAGTATGGAATTCTACAGGTGAATAAGCAAATAAAATTGAGGAGAAAGCAGAGCCTGATGGGATGAATAATGGCAGGGAATATACTAGGAGGTGTCTTCACCTTGGCCCCTCAACTCCTGTCTTGGCTGTCTTGTTCTGTCCCGCAAAGGGAAGAAGTTGGATCCAAATATCTTCACAGTTTCTCCATTCCAAACTTCTCTCAGCCTGAAGTAGAAATGCTAGGAGCATTTATTGAGAACTCAGCTATAAACAGAAGGGTCTGAAAGATGACCTCCAAACTGTAAATCCAGGAGACAAACCAAAAGGAAAAGAAAATGTAGCATCCAGAATTGCAGGCGGTGATATAGCAGCCCTGAGAGACTGTCATCCTGACAACTCCGGAGGATGTGTGTGAAAAGGATTCCTTTGATAGCTGCCTGCTAGAGATAACTGCTGCCTTTCAAGGTAAGCAGGCAAAAGGACGAAGAGGGCACAGGCCCAGCAGAGAGCAGAAATGAGGATGAGAACAGCACGAGCGACTAAATCAGACCTGAGAGCATAATCGCTGACATTTAAGATGAAGAGATTAGCAAAGAGGAACATTTTGCTGCTTCACAACTAAAACTTACAGAACTCAAGTTAGCCACAGTCTTACTTTGTTTTTGTTTCAAGACCCTCTGATTTGTATTCTATCATTAACTGAAGCAACAACAGTCATCCAACAGTCAATCATTAAATGCTCGTTCTTGTTAATTAGGGTTCTTTGATGCATTTGAGAAGGAGCAAAATAATAAACATGACTTTATGGTAAGAGTATGAGTCACAGCATAGAATGAAAAGTGACCTAAGAAGGGTTTCAGGGGCTATGGAAGCCCCAAGAGTTTGGTGACAGGAAGATGTCTCCCTTGACATCTAACCCACTTTATCCTTTCACCTGGAATTGAAAATTTTACCTGAAAGATGTGAATGAAATATAAATATGCCCCACTTAAGTGAGTAACAATTGTTTGAGATAGCTGAGGAGTAAGAGCAACTGTACCCAATCTTCACATGAAGTAATCAGACCCGGACATGGGGTTTTGTTTTGTTTTGTTTTCTGAGTCTAGAATTTACCTTCACTGTCTTTCATTCAGAGTGGTTCTCAACCTTGATGTGCAACCCCTCTAGGGGTCGAATAACCCTTTCACAGGGTTGCCTAAGATCATTGGCAAAACAGGTATTTACATTATGATTCATAACAATAGCAAAATTACAGTTATGAAGCAGCAACAAAGATAACTTTATGGTTGGGGATCACCACAGCATGAGGAACTGTATTAAAGGGTCACCGCATTAGGAAGGTTGAGAACCTATTTATCATTTTCATTATTGTTTATATAATGACTATAGCCTGATTTAATTAAATTCCTTTCC